ACCACACCATCTCCCCTTCTTCGCCATTCCCTGGTACTCCTGCGCCTCCCGCTCCTTCCATTCCAGCTCCTGCTGCTGCTGTTCGTCCTCGTCCTCCTCCTTCCGCCTTTTCCCCCTGCTCATCCGCATGATCATCTGCCACCTCCTCCTCCTTCCAGTGTACGCAGCTCCTTCTTTTCCGATGGGGCATAACACGATGGGGACCTCCTTGGAGTTCCAGGTCCGCTATGACACGCGTCGGCGGATCGAGAAAACAACAACGCAATGGAAGGGTTTTGAAGCCAGATATGGCGCGAGCGCGCCTAGCTTGTCCTCCTTATATAACCCCCTTTCGCTCCTTTTCTTCCTTCTCCTCCGATTCCCCCTTTCTTCTCCCTCCTCCTTCTCCTCCCTCCTCCTCACCTATCCTTGGTGCGGAATCAGAGGCCTCTGGAACGGAGATTCCCGAGCAACTACCACCATAATCATTTCGACCTCAATTCTTCTTCGCTGATTCCTCCCTCTCTTCCTCCTGCATCCTCCTTCCTCCATCCCTCGTGGTCGTGGTCGTCGTGACTATCGTAGCCACCGCCGTCGCCGCCCGCCGCCCGCCGCCCGCCACCGCCGCCGTCGCCGTCCTCGCCGTAGCACGCGTCGTCGTCGACGCCGTCGCCGTCGCCATCGCCGTCGCCGTCGCAGTCGCCGTCGCCGTGGCCTTGGCCGTGGCCGTGGCCGTGGCCGTCGCCATCGCCGTCGCCGTCGCCGTCGCCGTCGCCGTCGCCGTGGCCTGGCCGTGGCCGTGGCCGTCACTGGCGCCGTCGCCGTCGCCGTCGCCGTCGCCGTCGTCGCCGTCGTTGTCGCCGTCGCCGTCGTCGCCGTCGTCGCCGTCGTCGTCGTCGTCGTCGGCGTCGTCGTCGTCGGCATCGTCGTCGTCGTCGTCGTTGCCGTCATCGTCGGCGTCGTCGTCATCGTCATCGTCGCCGTCGCCGACGTCGTCCTGACTCCCCTCGGCCTGCGCCACGGCGCCCGCGGCCTGCGCCGAATCGCCCTCTGCGATGGGCTGCTGCCCGCCGCTCGCGGACGGATGGGCGGGGCCTCCTCGGCGATGGCGGCAGCGACGGCGGGCGACGGCGACGACTGCGACAACGGTGTAGAAACGACAGAAGCTACATAGATACGAACGTTCGGTGGTCCGTGCGGATTTCTTGGATCGGCGCTGCAAACCCCTCCCTGGCGCGCGGAGCGCACAAGTGGCGACGCCAGAGGCGCCGCCAGGGGGTCCAGCGCAGATCCAAAAAATCCGCGCGGACTTTCGGCAGTTTATGTTTATGCAGTTCTTTCTCTTCGATCCTCGGCGGCGACGGCGACGACGGCAACGACGGCGACGACTGCGACGATAGATGATAACAGCGACTTTCGAGGAGGAAGACGAAGGGACAGGGGGGGAGATGGGGGCGGGCACTGGGGTGGGCGAAGTGGGAAGGCTTCCCCCCAATACAACATACAACAATGATGGCAAAACTCGGCAGCAACTGGATTCGCACAATATCATACTTTCCCTAGCAGTGCTTGCCTTTAGGGGTTCCTACTTGTTCTCTCACGCGCTGGGCACGCTTGTCGGGTCCGCCGCCTTGTTGCCGCCGTCGCCGCCCAGCCGCCGCCTCGTCGCCGCCCGTCGTCCAAGCTCGTTTGTCGGGTCCGCCGCTTTGTTGCCGCTGTCGCTGGCCCGAAGCCGCCTCGCATATACTCTCGCTTGTGCAAGAGAATGAGGGAATCTACCCCGTCCCCACCAGACTTATCACGCCAGCCCCGCGGTGTGCAGTTTATTTACGATCGGCAAGTAGCACCATGCGCGCGACCGAAAAAAACTCATCGGTTGTCAAAAACCAGTTGAAGTAACAAACGAAGCAACGTCCACACGCGCGCGTCATCGCACGCGCGTCACACATAACAAATGGTTTGGCATCCGGTTTTTTGTGTTGATAAAATCTGCGCGCGCGTTCTTACGAATTGTCGGGACAATTTTTTGTTCGTGGTCATCACATGCGACTACACGGGCCTGATCGAACGCATGACGATGTCATTCGACCACCCTTGCGCGCGTGCTGGGGGGGAGGCGCAATCCTTGTCAAGCCATGCGGGCCACTCGCGCGCGTCGGCCGCGCGCGCATGTCGAAATCTCTCCACGGCACGTGTACGCCATTCTCGTCATCAGCGTGATCACCGTCGGCGCAGTCGTTGGCCTTGCCGTCGCCATCGTCATCGTCGTCACCAACATCGCTTACATCATCATCGTGCGTGTCGTTGTCGACGTCAACATGATAAGGCGTCCGTCCGAGCCACCAACTCGCACTGAATTGCCCGCGCGTCAACGCGGCCTGCAAAACGCGCTGGGAAATTCCCAACGGTCAGCGCCACCACGGTTGCGCCGGTCGCGCCAAACTAGCTGGCCGCTCTGCGCGGGAGCCTGCGCGCGCAAGCGCGGCCGCAGCGATGCGGTTGCCAGCGTCAAGCAGTCAGCGCCACGGGTTTTGCAAACTGAATTGAGAGCGGGTGGCTGGGATGATCTCGCTGCAGTGGAGCTGACAACAACAAGTTCGGCAGGGTGAGTTGCACCACGTACGTAGATTTCTTTTCTAGAAGGGTGTCAGGATCGACCCTCTCCCAGACTTAACGGACCCCCTTTTCGTATCGCAATTCACATATGATGTTGCCCCGCCGTCCGCCCTAAAATTGAACTCGTATCATCCCGGCTAAACCAGCATCACCCCCTCATCCTCTGCAAAAAACTACATGCGCACACCCGTTGATCAAAACTCATCAGTTTTCAAAAACCCACTGCAACAAATGAGACGAAGTGCGCACGCGCGCGTCGTCTCGGGCGCATACCAGAATCCTTCACAAACCTGAGCTTGCGCTGGGACTTCAAAATCGAACGCCCCGAAAACATACAAAAGCACATGGTTTCGCAACACGGATTTTCAAACGAAGCCTGCGCCCGCGCTCCTGCGAATTCTTTTTGTTTCCTTTTCAAATTGCAAAAACCATAGGCTTTTCAACATTTTCATAACCTGCTACCCAGCCAGCCTTTCGGCCGCGCGTGTCGGAATCGTTCGAACGCCTTGCGCGCGTGCTGTCGCAAGAAGCTGTTGCAACACATTGAATGAAGCGCACGCGCGCGTCGTCGCGCGCGCATGCCGGAACCCTTCAAAAACCCAAGGATTCGTAGGGACTTAAAAACCAGTTGTCCGAAATCACATACACCCACATGGTTTTGCAACATCAATTGTCAAAAATGCCTGCGCTCGCGCCCCTGCCAAGTCTTCGGAAGAAAAAACAGACGTTTTCCAATATGTTCATTCAAATCAGCCAAACGGGCTCCTCGCGCCGCGAATCGAAATCATTCCGGCGCCCTGGCGCGCGTGCTGGGGGCACGATCCGTGTCAAATAATACCATGCGGGCCGCTCTCGCGCGTCGGCCGCGCGCGCGTGCCGACAAAACCTTCACCGACGACGCAGGGACGCCGTCATCGTTGTCGGCGTGATCAGCGTCGGCGCCGTCTCTGGCCTTGCCACCGTCGTTGTCTTCATCGTCACCGGCATCGCTACCATCATCATCGCAACTACTGTTGTCGACGTCGCCATGACACCGCGCCCGCCCAAACCGCCGACTCGCACTGAAGTGCCCGCTGGGAAGTGCCCAGCGGTTCGCGCTACCGCGGCCGCGTCGGTAGCGCCAAAGTAGCTGGCCGCTGCGCGCGCGAGCGCGGCCGCACAGATGCACCAGCCAACTCCAAGCACTCATCGCAATCGCCGCCGCATGGGTTTTGCAGACCAAGTTGTGGGTGAGTGGGTGGGATGATTGCGCGAGAAGTGGAGTGGACAACTCACTGTGAACAGAAATTTAAGTGCACCGCGTAGAAGGCACCACATCGATTGCACCTCGTTGGTTTCACAACACGTACTGCACAGCATAAGGCGCACACCATGCATTTTACAACATAGATTGCACGACGTAGACTGCACGACAAATACTGCCCCACGTAGATCGCACAACATAGATTGCGCCACGTACGTTACAATACCTACATTGCGCCACATACACTGCACCACGCATATTGTTAGAAGGTATGGTTTGGGGTGGTTAGCGCATACAGCTTGAAGAATTGTGTATATACACATTGTTTGGTAACCGATGTTCCTGCCAACCTATGATTGAAAGAGAACGGTGCGATGGACTAGCCTAGCGGCTGGTGAAGTGAGCTGGACGTGAGTGGAATGGTAAGGATGACAAAATACAGACAGCGGGCGGCGCCGACAGACGCGGGTACAGCGGTGCAGGCAGAGCCAGCGGTGGGTGGGGTACTTTGTAACATAAGCGGGCAGCTGACGCCAGGTACCTACTGGGCGGTGGGCGGGGCCGCCCAGGGGCCTGGAGGACGATGAGGAAGTGGCCAACGAACGACACGGCAAGCGAGCAGCCGAGCGTGACGACCACCTCCGCCAGTTGACTTCAAATGATCATACCCTTTGACTGCCGCACCCTTGCGCTTGGGGCACATCGAACGCCGAGCAGAAGATGCTGAAGGCGAGGCTGATGATACATGCCGCGTGCAGCAACAGGGGTAAGTACAGCACTGCACGCTCACACCGAGGTTCTTCTCGAATGCCGTGCCAAACCCGACATCGCAGAAACTCTGCCCTATCCGTGCGGCAGCCACACGCAGCACAGAACGACCGCATACCATTGCCAGGAGGCCTTGAACATGAAACAACACGGTCGCCGAGGAAGAGTGTGCAATACCAGACGAGGCACAAATAATCCCGAAACTCGCCGTGGATCAACTCATGTCCAGAAGGCTACCCGAACACACGTCCAGGCCAAAGACCAGGCTCGTTGCCTGAGCTCCTAAACACCCTCGTTACCGAAGTCCTCGCTGGAAATCTCGAGAAGAGGGCCCTCCCCAGGGACAGGAGGTAGGACCACGCGGGGACCACGAGAGACCCTGGGAGGGCAGAACCTCAAGCATCTCGCTGTCACGCTCGAAAGTGGCCACAACACCGAAAACAATCGCCTCCGTCAGGAAGAATGCCAGGGCCTGGACGATGGACAAGCACACCACGAACGATCAAACGACCGCGCCCGGTACAAAGACGGCAGCAGCGAGAGCCCAGGGATGTGGAAAGGAATGCACCATCGCCCCGCACGTGCAGCGCAGGACTGCAAGATGCTGGCTGACCCCGCCCCGAGGACCTGCTCCAGATGAGCGCAATGCCGCACGGCAGGCCCAGAACGAAGCGGCCGAGGAGCACCGCCAGGAAGCTGCCGACGCTGAGCCCGATTGAGGCCCCGCTGCGACGTGACGTAGATGTCGTCGGCGGGGACATGGAGACTGTGGCTGGCCGCTTTGCGCCTCCGAACCGTGATCTGCTCGATCTGGGTGTCCTGACCGACCTCCTCGGCAGCAGTACCAGCAGCGGGAGGCGGCGCAAACAACGCCAATCTCTTGGCCAGCTCTGTGTGGCCGACCATGTCGCGCAACAGACCAACCTCAGCCTCCAGGTCCTGCACCCGACGAAGGGCAGCGGCAAGACGTGCTTCCAGGCCTTCACAACCAACACGATGCCTTGCCCAGCTACAAGGCAGACGGGGTTGCTTCGGAGAGCAATCAACCGTAGCCATCCCCACTGCAACGATCAACTGATCACAAAAAACACCATCGAAGACCTGGCAGGCTTGAGCAACAGGGCTTGAGCCAAAATGGCTACGGAAGAGTGGTGGGTGGGGGGGGGGAAATGAGGAGATGGGGGAGGGAGATGGAAAGTGGTGGGAGGGTGGAAGCGGGGGAGGGGGCAAGGATGGACGAACCCTCCTCACTCCTCCTTGAGGGGGTTGCCGCGGTCAGCCTTGGGGCGGTGCAGATGCTCGGCGCGAGTACGCTTTCGCATTTCGCATTTGCAAAGTCGGTCCTACACTGGACCTCTGCAGATGCTCGGCGTGGCTGCAACCATTTTACCCTTAGATACTGTTAGCATTAGTCTTACTATCGTTATTATTAATGTTACGAGTAACAAATTATGATTATTATTATGATTATTATTATTAGTAGTAGTATTAGTATTATTAATATTATTAGTATTATTAGTATTATTATTATTATTATTATTCACCATCTTCGTCTTTTCTTGTTTTTGTGATCCATTCGCCGCTCGGTACCACGATTATGAATATTCGCATTCGCCTTCTCATGCCTTTTGTCTGTTGTACCTTGCTAGTGCAACTGGCCACGTCAGGCCCGTTAAGGTGGGTGGGCTGTTTTTGACTATTACTATGTTTTGTTACCCCACCCCCCGCTGCGCACTGCCCCTCTCCTCCCCGCCTCCGGTTACATCGACGACTCTGGTTCGACGCTGCACCGTGTGGTATTCTGGCACCTCGGTCCCAGGCACTTGGCCGCGCCTTTCTCGCTCGAGGGGGTCCCAGAACGGTGCGGTGACAGACCGTGCGGTGACCTTGGCATCCCCAAAGACCTCACCGCACGCGGTGGCCCCGCATCCCCACTGACTCATCACGCGGTGTGGTCACTGCGCCGTTTGGGGGCCCCGATCTTTATCCAAACCAGACTCGCCACTGTCAGGTCCTTCACCCGGTGCGTCCGCCTCCACCCCGTCCTCCCCGTGGAGGAACACCTCGATGTAGCGGCTGCCCATCCACTTGCCGTCCAGGAGGTGCTGCGCGATCGCCGCGTCGCCGCGGTCCCGCATCTGCACCACCGCCTGCCCAGACGGCCGGCCGTTGGTGCGCACGAGGAGGTTGACCGCCTTTGGGCCGGCGGCGATGCGATCGACGACGACGACGACAACGACGACGACGACGACCACGACGACGACGACCACGACGACGACGACCGCCTTGGGGCCGGCGGCGATGCGATCGACTATGTCGTGCTGCGCGAAGAAGGCCAGCACGTCCTGCTCCGAGGACGAGAACGGGAGGCCCCGGAGCCTGCGGCCGCGAGCCAAGGCGCGCATCGCCTCTCCGACCCCATATCTTCATAGGTGTGGCCTTGGCCCCGCTGGCTGACTCTTGGGAATATACCAGGAGGCCGATGTTTCGCACAATCTAAAATGAGGTTTCGCACAGGCCGGCCCGCTCCATTGATTAAAGCCTCCCTTTACAGCCAACCCGTACGATGAGGACGCACGGTAAGGATACGGGCCTTGGAAGGCCCTGTCGGAACTTTGCGAGCGGGGCGCGGCCAGCGAAAGCATGCGAAAGCGGCCAAGGATGGGCCGAAAGGATGCAAGAGTAGCCTTGGAAAGTAGCTTATCCTTGCCATGCGGGTTGACTGTAGGCTGTTTCCTTAGTTTCGAAGGGTATATCCCCAACTGGGGTGATGAGGTTTGGGGGTTTAGATGGGGACAGGGGTCGGTGACACGATACTGAAAAGGGGGGCGCCCGGGCTGGGGGAAGGCTTCTTCGCAGAAGGGGGGAGGTTACTTAGAAGGATGCCGCTGCTTAGAAGGCGCAAGTCCTACATCTGGAAACAAGGCCTGGGCTTTCTAAGAAGCAGGGGTGCTTCGAAGGAGCCTCCTCCCTCCCCCCGTACCCCCCCTCTGCGCGTGGCTGCCCTCACCCGCCTGGGGGAAGCCACTGCGTCGACGACCTCTCGAGAGGGGTGTCGAAGCCGATGGGCCCCACGGGGGGGGGCAGCGGGGTACGGCGGGTTCACGTCGCGATGACGTCGGCGTTGCCTTCTGACACCGCCTGGTAAGACGAAGCCAGGGCGAGGATCAAATCGGGGGATGATAGATCGAGACTCTCGAGATCCCGCGGCTCTGGAAAATGTCTCGGGCGCCGCGGCCTTGTCAGAGCGCTCCGGAACGCCCTGCGAGCGTTTCAGAACGCTCTGGAACGGATTCGTCCTCATCCTAGCCCCTTCCGATCTGGATCGTTCAGCCTCGAACGATCGCGGCTTTCCGATGGCGCAGGTCGTTCGATGTCGGCCGCCGATTTCCCGGAATGCTGGCGGCGGCCAACCTTGAAACGCCCGCGCGCGGGGTCGCCGCCGCGCCAACGTGGCGCGAACTTGCAGTCGGCCCGTATTATAAGGACGCACGATAATCGACGAGCGCGTTCCACTACTCGCAAAGTAACTACTCGCAAATGGCCTGGATCCCCCGCGGGGGATCTACGATAAATTACGTCAAAGCAGACAGGTGTTTGTCGGACCTTTGCGAGCAGGCACGTTGCGAGTAGTGGAACGCGCTCGGCGAACGATAAGGATGCAAGGGCCTTTGACGCCCAATTCGAAGCTTTTCGAGCGGGGCGCGGCCAGCGACAGTGGGACTGGGCGAAAAGGGAGGATAGCAAAGGGGGGGTTTGAGAATCAGCTCACGTAGCTGATTTTCTCTGCGCCTTTCGGCGCCGGAGGCGGCCATGTATCGAGGAATGGGCCGCTCGGTGGGGCCGAGACCAGCTGCATGCAGCAGACTTCGTAACCCTCCCTTTCCCAATCCCCCCCTTTCGTCCGGCCCGAGATAAGGATGCAAGGGCCTTGGACGCCCAATTCGAAGCTTTTCGAGCGGGGCGCGGCCAGCGACAGTGGCCAAGGATGGACCGAGAAGGCAAGGATGCAAGGGCACCCTTGGGAAACTTGCCCACCCATGCTATGCGGGTTGACTGCACCGAAAAGGAAACAACTCCCCCGAGGCCGGGGCTGACCTGCCCTTGACGGGGGCTTCTGCCAGCGGAGCCGTCCTCGCTTTGCTTCCGCTGGCCTCCCGCCGAGCAAGCGGAAGCAGCTTCGCTCGCGGTCCCTGGAAAACGAGGCCCTCTCTGGAGCTGCCCTGAGATCCGCCGCTTCGACCACTCGCACCACCGCAAAACAAGAAAAACACGACCGGAGCCCCGTGCCCGCTCTCTCTGCGGCACTCTTCGAGCCCGATCGATCTGCGACAATCGGCTACACTTAGGAGTGACCCTGGGTAAGAATGACCTCTGGTGCGCGGCTTTGTGGGGGCCGCGGGGGGGTCAAACACAAGCGCGATGGGCCCGCACCACAGGTCACTCCGGCGAGGGGTCACTCTTACGTGTAGTCGAGGCACTATCAGTGCCCGAAGCCGGGCGAAACCGCCCAGTGCGAAAAACTTGCAGTCCCCGGACATCAGGGTGTGGCTGGTCTTCCATTTTATGACCACCTAGCAAGCCACCCCAGGCTGACCCGAAGACCCGAATTCCGGGTGGGAAGGGGGGGGGTACGGGGTGCACACGTGCTTTTTCAATGTTCCCCGTCACCCCCGCAACTGGGAATGGAAGGCGAACTGGGGCCTTCGGGCTGGGTTGGGGTGGTTTGGTGGGTGGTGACCTTATGAGGCTGGCCTCCCAACCATTGCGCCCGTCTGTTGAGCAGGGACTGACCGTCCCGGCATTTCTATAGTCCTGCCACCAAATGTTCTTAGAACCCAAACATGTTCTAATAACAAAAACAATGCTCTTAGACCATAAACCCGATGCGTTCAGACAAGACAGTCCCAGCCAGAAATGTTCTAAGAACATTTCCTGGAAGCACAAACGGTTCTTAGAACATTGTTTGGTAGGGCTATAGGCAACCTCGGGAGCGGCCAAGAGGGGGGTGTCCAAGAAGGGGGGGTGCAAATCATGACCGGCGGCATGTGCGCGGCCCAGCGGGGGGGCCAGGGACGTCATGAAACAAGAAGAGGCGCAATGAAATCTCGGGAAATATCATGGCCCCCGCCAGGAATACACCCCCCTAGTCCTCCCCCCCCTCTTTGCCGCCCCCGAGAGGCTGGCCCCCGACAACCGTTGCGCCCGTTTGCTCGCGGCCCGGGCCTCACGGCCGAGCCGAGCCCGGCCTCGCCGTCGCCGCCCGGCTGCCCTGGCCAGACCCTGCCCGCCTGGCGGCCCTCCCGCGCCGCGCCCGCCTGCGGGGGGGCCGCGGCGAAGAGGCGGGCAGACGACGCGCGAACGGGTGGCAGGCCAGGGGCCAGTTGGCTTCAAGGGCTCCTAGCTTCGCGCTTCGCGCTGCGCGGAGCACGAAGTGCGAATAACTTCGCGCTCTCGCGCCGTCTCCCCGGGGAGAAGGGGAGGACGAGGAGGAATCGGAGCCGAACCGCGAAGCGCGAATAACTCCGCGCCCTCCAGGGCGCCCTTTGAGAAGCAGGCGGACGACGCGCGAACGGGTGGCAGGCCAGGGGCGCTCGTGGGAGCTTCAGGGGCGCTCTTGGGGCCATCGATCAAACGAGAGGAGAGCTCCGAACACGAGGAGGAGGGAGGAGGAGGGGGGAGGAGGAGGAGGAGGAGGAGGAGAAGGAGGAGGAGGAGGAGGAGGAGAAGGAAGTGGAGGAGGAGGAGGAGGAGGAGGAGGAGGAAACTCTCCCCCCTCGGGGGAACCGACCATCGCCTCCTGGACCCCTCCTGGAGCCCTCTTTGGGCGCTCCTGGGCGCTCCGGGGGCCGTCTTGGGGCCCTCCTGGGCCTCTGCTGGGGGGCCCGTTTGCTTGGACGCGGGCTCGAGTCGATCGGCGGCGAGCGAGGGGGGGAAGCGAGGAGGAGAGGGCCTTCTCGGAAGGCGGCGGGACTTCTCAGGAGCCCTCGCGCCCTCTGAGAGGTTTTCGGTGTCTTCGGGGGAAGGCTCAGAACACTTCTCATGGTGCAGCACCTGGCCTGTCCTTTGCCTGTGCATCGTCGTGGTATGCTTCAGGGATGTTGTCGATGAGAGTTTGGGTCTCTCTGCTGGCGTAGGCTCGGTGGTCAGAGTTGCTACCGAAGCTGGGTTGTGGTGGTTGGTCGCTGTGTTTGTTGTTTGCTGAAGCTTGTCGTCGTTTGGTCCTCTGCCTGGGTAAAGTCGCCCGTTGTTGGGTGGGTGTGTATGGTTGTTGGGTCCAGAAGATTGTCGCTGGTGCGATCTGGTATTCGGTGTCTCCTTTTTGATACATGTGGGGCACTAGTGGTGGGCAGAAAGTCGGAGCCTGCTGTGTTTGGTTGGTATATCCGCTGTGGCCCACCGGCTGCCAGGTTGGGCCCTTTCCTTTGCCGTAATGCTGTTGTTGTTGTGGTTGTGGTTGTGGTTGTGCTTGTGGTTGTGGTTGTGATTGTGGTTGTTGTTATTGCTGTTGTTGTTGTTGTTGTTGTTGTTGTTGTTGTTGTTGTTGTCAAAAAGGGTTCGTTCGAAGACGAAGAGGGCGGGTATCGAGGGTTTGGGAAATACGCGTTATTGGACACTCGAGCATATAAGGGCGAACAGTCTTAATATTATTGTTGTTGTTGGTGGTGTTTCCCTTTGCCTTTTCTTTTGGCTTGGGGTGCTTGCGAATGTCCGTACATATGTTCGGTCGTAGGCGTGGTGATTGTGGTGCGCTGTGGTACTGGTTAAGCAGGTGTTGTGCTGCTTGATGCTTTGGTGGTTAGTGTGGTCGAGTAATGTTCGTGCAGATGCCACGCGTGTTAATGTACGTGCTGCAGCTCTCCTTTCTGGTTCCCTGCGGTGCCAGGCCAGGTTTGGAGATGAAGGTGGATTCGTGGTGGAGGTGGGTCTAGGCCGTTATGGCCGTAGGGTGGTGCTCGTGGGTGCTTGGGCGCAAGATGCGGATGTCGATGTCGTGAACCTGCAGTGCTGGCGTGGTGCCCGTAACGCAAGATACAAGAAACATCCAAACTGTTATAAGTGAAGAAAAGGTGTGAATGTTAGAGAATGGCACAGGATGTAAGTGGTAAAGGATCTGGAGGATGATTTGCGTTCGTGGCTGGCCCCCTCGGGCTGGCGCACTGCTATGGGCTCGTGGTCCCGAGGCTCCTCCTCCTACTCCTCATCCTCCTCCTCCTGCTCCTCCTCCTCCTCCTCCTCCTCCTCCTCCTCTGTCTCTCTCCTCCTCCTCCTCCTCCTCCTCCTCCTCCTCCTCCTCCTTCTCCTCCTCCTCCCTTCTGCTCCTCCCCCTCCCCCTCCTCCTCCGCCTCCTCCTCCTCATCTGTCTCTCTCCTCGCGTCTCTCCTCCTCCTCTTCCTCCTCCTCCATCCTCCTCTCCGCCTCGTCCGACCACCTCCTCCTCCTCCTCCTCCGCCCTCCCCTCCTCCTCCTCTGTCTCTCCCTCTTTCTCCTCCTCCTCGTTCTCCGCTCCTCCGCCTCTTCCTCCCCCCCGCCCTCCCCCTCCCTCCTATCCTCCCCCTCCTCCTCCTCCTCCTCCTCCTCTCTCCGCCTCCTCACTCCGCTTCCCTCCCCTTCTGCCTCCCTCCTCCTCCATCTTCGGGTCTCCTTCTGCCCTCCTCCGTCTGCTCGTCCTCCTCCTCTTCCTTCCTCCTCCTCCTCCTCCTCCCCCTCCCCCATCTCCTCCTCTGCTCAGTCTCTCCTCGGTTGTTTCGCCTCCTCCTCCTCCCTCCTCCTCCTACCGCCTCCTCCTCCTGCTCCTCCTCCTCTTTCCTCCCTCCTCCTCCCTCCCCCTCCCTCCTCCTCCCCTCAACCTCACTCCTCCTCCTCCTCCGCCTCCTCCTCCTCCGCACTCCTCCCCTCTCCCCCCTCCACCGTTTCCTTGTCTCTCTCATCTCCTCCCTCCTCCTCCTCCTCCTTCTTTCTCCTCCTCCTCCTTCCGCCGCCGCCTCCTCCTCCGCCTCCTCCTCCGCCTCCTCCTCCTTCTTCGTCTTCTTCGTCTCTTCTTCTTCTTCTTCTTATTCTTCTTGTTATTATCCTCCTACCTCCGCCTCCTCCTTCCATCCTCCTCCTCCTCCTCTCTCCCCCGCCTTTGTCTCTCTCCTCCTCCTCCTCCGCCTTCTCTAGCCTTCCTCCGTCCGCCTCCTCCTCCTCCACATACCCTCTCCTCCTCCTCCTCCTTAAGTCCTTCCACCACCATCCTCCTCCTCCCTCCTCTCCTCCTCCGCCCTTCAAAGAGCCCTCGGATGTCATGGTCCCCCAACGTTGACCCCCCGAGGCCCCCTGCGCACTACGCGCCGCCCACGCCTCGGCCCGCGCGGGCCGCGAACGCTCGAGCCCCGCAGCCTGGCAGCTACATCGCCGCACGCGACACGCAGCACCACCCGCGGGCAAACGAGGAGGAGCGCCGACCCGACGACTACTTGGAGCACCGACCTGGTTCCCTGGATCCCTCGACCCTCGATCCCTTGGCGCTCGATCCGTTGACCAAGCTTACCGCGGGCACACGAGGAGCGATCAATCTTGACCCCCGACCTTGGACGAGGCTGGGAAGAGGATCAATTCGTTCCAGGGCATTCCGGAACGCTCTCGGAGCGTTCCGGAACGCTCCGAGAAGGCCGCGGCGCCCGAGACATCCTCCAAAGCCGCTGGATCTCAGATATTGTCGATATGTCCTTGCCCGATGTCTTACGTCACTTACGCCCCTTCCCTCCTCCCCGCGCTCCTTGGGCTCTGGCTGGAGGGTTGCGGAGCTGGCCGGCTGCGCCGCGGCAGCCTCGGCCGCCCCCCAAGTGGGCTGCGCCGCGCCTAGGAAGCCTGGTTGTGGGGGAGGGCTTACTACTCCTGCTCCTGCTGCTGTTCCTCCTGCTCCCTCCTCCTCCTCCTCCTCCTCCTCCTCCTCCTCCTCCTCCTCTGTTTCTCTCCTCCTCCTCTTCCTCCTCCTCCTCCTCCTCCTCCTCCTCTTCCTCCTCCTCCTCCTTCTCTTCTTCCTCCTCCTCCTCCTCCTCCTCCTCCTCCTCCTCCTCCCTCCTCCTCCTCTTCTTCCTCGTTCTCTGTCTCCCTCCTCCTCCTCCTCCTCCTCCTCGTACTTGTCCTCCTCTACCTATTTTCCTCCCTCCCTTCCTCCTCCTACCTCTTCCTCCTCCACCTCCCGGGGTCTAACGGGGGCCTGCGTTTTCAATGTTTCTTCATAGCGAGCCTGCATCCCCGTAGGAATGCGGAGGATGATGAGGAGGAGGCTCATTCCCTTCCCTTTCCTTCAGGACGGAGGGGGAGGTCCGCTTCCCTTCCCTTTCCCTCAGGAAGGAGGAGGAGGATGTTCCTTCCCTTCCCTTTCCTTCACTTCAGAGGAGGAGGATGTTCCTTCCCTTCCCTTCCCTTCCCCTCAGGAGGAGGAGGAGGAAGGGGAAGAGAAGGGGGGGGATCCTTCCCTTTCTCTTTCCCTCGGGAAGGAAAAGGAGGAGGTTCCCTTCCCCCCCCTGTCCCTCATGAGGGAGGAGGAGGAGGAGGAGGAGGAGGAGGAGGAGGAGGAAGCTCATTCCCTTTCCCTTTCCTTCAGAAGGAGGAGGAGGAGGAGGAGGAGGATCACTCTCGTCCTTTTCCCTCAGGAAGGAGGAGGCGGAACTTCCTTCCCTTCCCTTCCCTCAGGAAGGAGGAGGAGGAGGTTCCTTCCCTTCCCTTTCCCTCAGGAAGGGGAGGATGGCGCTCATTCCTTTCCCTTTCTCTCAGGGCAGAGGAGGAGGAGGAGGATGTTCCTCCCCTTCCCTTTCTCTCAGAAGGAGGAGATGAGGGAGGAAGTCCCTTCCCTTTCCTCTCCCTCGGGGAGGACGAGGAAGAGGTTCCCTTCCTGTCCGTTTCCATCAGCAGGAGGAAGAGGATGAGGAGGAGGCTAATCCCCTTTGTTGCCCTCAGGAAGGAGGATGAGGACGAGGCTCCTTCCCTTCCCTTTCCGTCGGGAGAAGGAGCGGGAGGAGAAGGGGGAGGATCCTTCCGTTTCCCTTTTCCACCGGGAAGGAAGAGGAGAAGGTTCCAATCCCTCCCCTGTCCCCCAGGAAGGAGGATGAGGAGGCCCACTCCCTTCCCTTTCCCGCAGAAGGAGGAGGAGAAGGAGAAGGCTCATTCCCTTCCCTTGCCTCAGGAAGGGGGAGGCGGAACTTCCTTCCCTTCCCTTCCCTCAGGAAGGAGGAGGAGGAGGTTCCTCCCCTTCCCTTTCCCTCAGGACGGAAAGGGAGGAGATACCTTACTTTTCCTTTCTCTCATGAAAGAGGAGGGGGAGGAGGTTCATTCCCTTCCCTTTCCCTCAAGAAGCAGGATGATGATGACGAAATTGCTTCCCTTCCCTTACCCTCAGAAAGATGAGGAAGAGGTTCCGTCCCTTCCCATCCCTCAGGAAGGAGGAGGAAGAGGAGGAGGAGGAGGAGGAGGTTCCTTCCTTTCCTTTCCCATCAGAAGGATGGCGGGCACGCCACTCCGAAGCCCAACACATTGTAAATCACAACGTGTTGCAGCCCTGGATGCTCCACACATTGCGTTTTATAGTGTTTTGATAACCCCCGAAGCCAAACCCATAATAACTTACAGCGTTTTGGAGCCCTCCTTCGGAAAAAAAAAAAAAAAAAAAAAAAAAAAAAAAAAAAACCTTGTGTGCTTACAAAATCAATCGGAACTCGAAGCCCAATTTCGCGTTCCATTTCTTAGATATCACGCCCTGGATGCTTAACACATTGTGTTTTACAATGTTCTGACAACCTCCGAAGCCCACACCATTGAACATTACAATGTTCTGCAGCCCTGGATGAAAAACAAACATTGTGTTTTGCAATGTTTTGACAACCTCCGAAGCCCAAACCCTTGAAAAGTATTGGAACCCTCGATATGACAAACGCTGTGTTTTACAATGTGTTCTCAAACTCCGAAGCCTAAAACATAGTAAAACACTGCGTTTTGCAGCCCTGGATGCTTTAACACATTTTGTTTTACAATGTTTTGACAACCTCCGAAGCCCAAACCATTGAAAATTACAGCGTTTCGGAGCCCTGGATGCAAACATCATAATGTTTTACATTGTTTCCCTTACCTCCGGAGCCAAAATCATTGTAAATCACAGCGTTTCCGATTCCGCTCATCCTCCTCTCTCCTCCCCCCCCTTCCCTCCCTCCCTCCCCTTGCTGAAGGCCTCTGGAGGGGACAAAGGGGAGGCGCGCAGGGGCAGGGAGGGAAGAGTGAGGATGGCTTCCAAAACGGCTAAGATGGGCCCGAGATGCCTCCAAGACGGCCCAAGGTGCACTCAAGACGGCCTACGATAGCCTCAAGACGGCCCAATTCGGCCCAAGAGGCCACCATGAGGCCTCCAACACGCTCCCGGAGCTCCTCCAGGAAGGCCCGAAGAGGCCAAAATCATTAATTGTCAATGAATGTTTGAAGCATTTTGGCATTTACGCCTTCTCGGGATTCCGATGGCCCGAGATGGCCCAGGAGGCCCCCAAGATCGCACAAGAGGCCTCCAAGAGCGCCCCATGACAGCCCAAGAGGCCTCCACGACGGCCCCAAGAGGGCCCCAAGACGGCCCAAGAGGCATCCGAGACGCCCAAGATGGCCTCCAAGATGGCCCCGAAGCGCCCCAAGAGGGCCCCAAGTCGGTTCAGAGAGACTCCCAAGACGGCTCCCGACGGCGTCAAACGGGCCAGGAACGCCCTAAGACGGCCAACGAGGCCCCTGAGAAGCCCCCAAAGGGCCCCAAGAGGCCCTCAAGAGGCCCCAAGAGAGCCCAAGATAGCCCCAACATAGCCTCCAAGACGGTCCCAAGATGGCCCAATCGAGCCCAAGAGTGCCTCAAGAGGCTCCGAAGAGGCATCCTCCCCCTTCTCCTTCTTCCTCCTTCTCCTCCTCTTCCTCTTTCTCCCCCACGTGTTCCCCGAAGCCTTTCCAAACCGACTCGGGGAACACATGATCCGCTAGCATGGCCAAGCTCTAGCCCAGCTGCCGACCACATAGGCGCTTCCACAAGGGCAGGGGGCAACCACCTCGGACTCCTCTTGTTCCTTCTCATTTTCTCCTCCTCCTCCTCCTCCTCCTTGTCCGCTCGTTCCCCTCATAATCCTCCTCGGTATCTTTCTACTCCGCTTCCTCCTCCCCGTCCTCTTGGCTTGTTCCTCCTCCTTCTCTTTCTCCTAGTACCGCTCTCGCTCTCGCGTTCGCTGTCGCTCTCGCTCTCTGTCTCTCTCATTAACCCTTCTTTTTTATATATATCTCTATATATATATGTCTAACTACATTTATATATATATATACATCATTACCTTCTCTCCTTCTCTCTCATACTTTTCCTACCCATCATCCTCCCGAACTGTTTTTCGACGAGTTTCTCGTGTACCTGGGGGGAGGGGGCATATAGTCCGATGGTGTCGCCAAGCCGTGCCCAAGAAGGGGGAACATATTCCGATGGTGTCGCTAAGCCGTGTACAAGAAGCCTTGCATCATCCTCCCCTTCTCCCCCCACGTGTTCCCCGAAAGTGTTCATACGAAATCGGGGAACACAAATAAGCATTGCTTGGCCGAGGTCTACGCTTCGCTTCAACTGCACGATAAAACCGGATTGCGCTGACCTGGAAGCGCCGCCATGCGAATGGAGAATGCCAACACGTAGAACTCGCAATGTTCACTTGTGATATGGTCGAATGTTGGATATGCTAAATAAACAACGCACGTTGCTTTGACACTAACGCGTACAGCGGCACAAACGTCCAGCCAAAAAAAAAAACGAGAAATCCGAACAGAAAAGGAAAGACACTAAGACACAAAACTGACTAGAACAAAACGAAGAACAATAGCTGACAGACAAGCAAACACAAAACGAAAAAAGAACGAGAAAAAAACGGACAAAAAAAAAACCAACAAAACGAAAAATCAGCTAACCTCGTACAGCGGCACAAACGTGCACAGAGCAGATTGCAAATCTGAATCAGGATTGGGCATGGCCGTGATTGTTCGCCCAATATGTTCCAAGACACACTCTCCAGTGTCGTGCATGCTTTTTCCATTGGATTGTTTCATCAAGTCAGTTCAAGAGCCCCCAAAGATCGCCCAAGAGGCCCAAGACGGCCCCAAGAGGCCCCCAAGACGGCCCAAGAGGCCTCCAAGCCGCTCAAGATGGCCTCCAAGACGGCCCAAGAGCCCTCCAAGACGTCCTCCAAGAAGGCCCGAAAGGGTCAAAATGGCCTCCAGGCGGCCAAGATGACCCGCAAGATGCCCACGTGTTCCCTGAAGGCTTTCCAAACCGATTCGGGGAACACATGGTCCGATAGCTTGGCATGTCTGGCCTCGACGTTCGGCCACATAGGCGCTTCCACGAAGGCAGGGGGCGGCGGTGATTCGCCGTAGGCGTCTTCGATCCGCTGCCCACTGTTGGCTTGCCACAGGGGTGCCCGGCGTGCTAAATTATTTCGGTTTTGGTTTTGGTTCTTTTCCAAAAGAACTCCCCTGGGGCTTCGGCCCGTCCCGCTGGCCACCCGAATGGCCCAGAATTCTCCCAAAAACTCCCCCAAGACGGCTCAAGATGGTTTCAAAACCGCCCTGATAGCTTAAGATGGCCTCCAAGATGCCTCCAAGACTGCCAAGATGATCTCAACTTCGCCCAAAATGGTCCATGATGGCCTCCCAGACGGCCCAAGAGGGTCCAAGATACCCCCAAATTCGCCCAAGAAGCCTCCAAGACGGTCCAAGAGGTCTCCAAGAGGTCCTCCAGGAGGGCCCGAAGAGACCAAAATCATTGATTTTCCATAGATTTTGAAGGATTTTAGCATTTGCTTCTTTTCGGCCTTCCGACGGCTCACGACGGCCCAAGCGGCCCCCAAGATCGCCCCAAGATCGCCCACGAGGCCTCCAAGATGGCTCCACGACAGCCAAAGAGGCCCCCAAGACGGCCCCAAGACGGCCCAAGGGGCATCCAAAACGCCCAAGATGGCCTCCAAGACGGCTAAGATGGCCCCAAAATGCCTCCAACACGGCCCAAGATGCACCCGAGACGGCCTGAGATGGCCTCCAACTGGCCGAAGACGGCCCAAGAGGCCCCCAAGAGGCCTCCAAGACGGCCCAAGAGGCCTCCAAGAGGTCCTCCAGGAGGACCCGAAGAGGCCAAAATCATTGATTGTCCATAGGTTTTTGAAGGATTTTGGCATTTGCTTCTTTTTCGGTATTCCGACGGCTCCAGACGGTCCAAGAAGCCTCCAATATCACCCACGAGGCCTCCAAGATGGCCCCATGACGGCCGAAGAGGCCCCCAAGACGGCCCCAAGAGGGCCCAAGGGGCCTCCAAGACGGCCAAAATGGCCTCCAAGACGGCTAAGATGGCCCCAAGATGCTTCCAACACGGCCCAAGATGCACCCAAGACGGCCTAAGATGGCCTCAAGATGGCCCAAGACGGCCCAAGAGGCCTCCAAGACAGACCAAAAGGCGTCCAGGAGGTCTTCCAGGAGGGCACGACGAGGCCGAAATCATTGATTGTCCCATGGTTTTTGACAGATTTTGGTATTTGCTTCTTCTCGGGATTCCGACGGCTCAAGACGGCGCAATAAGTCCCCAAGATCGCCCAAGAGGCCTCCAAGATGGCCCCATGACGGCCCCAAAGGCCCCCAAGACGGCCCCAAGAGGGCCCCAAAACGGTCCAAGAGGCCTTTCAAACGCCCAATATGGCCTCTCAGAACCCCTGATGTGCCCCAAGAGGGCCCCAAGACGATCCAGACAGGCCCCCAAGACGGCTTCCGACGGCGTCAGACAAGCCAGGAACGCCCTAAGACGGCCAAAGAGGCCCCCAAGAAGCCCCCAAAAGCCTTCCAAAACCCTCCAAGAGGCCCCCCGGAAGCTCCCAGGAGGCCCCAAGAGTGCCCCAAGAGGCGTCCAAGAGGCCTCCTCCTCCCCCTCCTCCTCCTCCTCCTCCTCCTCCTCCTCCTCCTCCTCCTCCTCCTCTTTTCTCCTCATCCTCCCCCTCCTCCTCTTCTTGCTCCCCCATGCGTTCCCCGAAGTCTTTCCAAACCGACTCGGGGAACAACTGGCCCGATAGCTTGGCCAAGCTCTGGCCCAGCTGTCGGCCACAGAGGCGCTTCCAAAGGGGCAGGGGGCGGCGGTGATCGCCGTAGGCGTCTTCGATATAAATAGATACCTACAAGTAAAAGTCACGCAGCACTCAGAAGCAGCAACACCGACTCTCCCCTAAGGGGTCGGCGGTGCGGCGTAAGCCAAAGAATCATCAGCTTCTCGAAGCGGGCATTCGATCTGAGAGGTCTCACCCATCGGGGCGTGAGCGGGCCCGTGCAACGCCCCTGGTCGACATCACCCCGGGAGGCGCGGGTGCGACGGCTGCCACAGCGCGGTGATCATGGGGCCCTGACTGCGAGGCGGGGATTTATCCATATCCACCGCCCGGGAACCGGCGTCCTGGTGCCCCTGCGGGCGGTGGACATGGATACATGTCGGCCCCCGGGGGCCCGAGTGTATCCATATCCACCGCCTGCGAGGTCCCCGAAAGTTGATCCTCCAGGCGGTGGTCATGTATGAATTCCTGCCTCGGACTGACTCGAGACTCAACGGTGATCAGCTTCTGCTTCTCAAAGCGGGCACTCGATCTGAGAAGTCCCACCACTCGGGGAGCGCGCGGGGCCGTGCAGCGCAGCACCCCCTGGCCGGCTCCCATCTTGGGAGGCCCGAGCGCGATGCCTGCTGCATCGCGGCGGCTCTGAGAACAGATGACGCTGAGCATGGGTGGTTCCGAATACAGAAATGTGAGGCTGCTTCCTTTCTCCCCTTCACACGAAACAGCCCCCGAGGATGAAAACTGCCGGCTTCTGGGACTCCACCGTGCTTTGAATCAGTCCGAAGAGAAGAGTGGCCCACCGGCAGCAGACCGAGTGAGGCTGCTTCTGGGTGGGTCTGAGGACGAGCGGGTACCAGTGTGAGAGTCCCAGTGTAGGTGAAGCTGAGCGTGAAAAAGAACCAGGACCGTCTAACCATATCGATCCTCGAGCCTCGATCCTTACGTGTCGACGTCGACTGCAGCTGGCCCCGACGCCAGCAAGCGGATGCTGTCCCCTTCTCCTCCTGGCGGCCGCGGCCGACCCCCTACTCGGTTTATTCCTTCCCCTGCGTGGACTCAGTCCGCTTCGCTGCGCCCCAGCTGGCTTGCTCAACGCGCTAGACTGTGCCCACCTGGGTGGCGACATCCGACCCCGACCCCCACCGACCATCGGTTCTCCGGAATTGATGGGAGGCCAGGGTGGGGTTCGAGTTTCATCACGTGCTCGACGAACTCGGGATGCTACCCCTGCCGCCCATCGAGTTGCCCGAATCGTTGACCGGCGAGGGTTAGGGTTTGGATTTCGCCGCCAACGACGGCGACGACGACGACGGCGACGACGACGACCCTCAAAACGCGGCTTGCACCCCTGGCCTGGAAACGCTGGCGGCGGCACGGGCCACGCCGCGTGCGCGCCGAAGGGCCCCGCGGCCATGGCTAGGGGAACGAACAATGACATGAACAGAAAGACTCGGAGGCCCGCGCGGATTTCTCGGATCCGCGCTGGGGTCCCCTGGCGGCTCCTTCGGCGCCGCCCCTGGCGCGCTCCACGCGCCAGGGAGGGGGGTCCAGCGCGGCTCCGAGAAATCCGCGCGGACCTCCGAGTCTTTCTGTTCATGTCATTGTTCGTTCCCCCGATGGCGGCGGACATGGCCGAGGCCATGGCCGCGAACGCGGCACCGCCGTCGCCGGCGAAGCCGCTGGCCAGGCCCTGGAGGCAGTCCTCGGGGCTTCGCGCTTCGCGCGCGCGGGGGGGCGGGGAAGCGGTGAGCGCTCGACGTCTGCTGCCCTCGGTGGCCGGCGCCGGCCTGCGGCGGCCCTCCTCCTCCCTCCTCCCTCCTCCCTCCCTCCTCCCTCCTCCTCCCTCCTCCCTCCTCCCTCCTCCCTCCTCCTCCCTCCTCCCTCCTCCTCCCTCCTCCCTGGGCTGGTCCGGACGGATCGGGTTGGCTGGACGGATCGGGTTGGCTGGATCCCTCCCCCCCCCTTCCCCCCTTCTGTCCTTCCGCTCTCGACTCCCTCTTCCCCTCGGCATGGGAGGTCTCGAGAGCTGGCTGGATCGGAAACCTGGGCGTGGGACGGGGAGGAGGAGGAGGAGGAGGAGGAGGAGGAGGAGGAGGAGGAGGAGGAGGAGGAGGAGGAGGAGGAGGAAGCCATTCGGCCGAGGAGGGGCCGGGACCGTCGCGGCTTCGCCCTCGTCGGTCGCCCCTTCGGTCGTGGCTCGCGCGCCGCGGAGCCATCAAAGAAAAGCAAAGAGGCGCCGCAGCCGCGGCGGTCATCTGACCGCCACGCCCAGGACCAAGGAGGAGGCCTGGCACCGCCGCGCCAGGACTCAAAGAGGACAAGACAGACTGCTCATCAGGCTGGCTGCGGCAGCCAGCAGGCTCGAGCAGCACCACAACTCGCAGCAGCCCCAGCGCCACCAGCAGCACACCATGACGCAGAGCTGGAAGCAGCAGCAGCGCGGCGCCTCGAGGGAAAGGTGGTCAGGAGCAGGGACCACACACCTCGAGGCGCCGCAGCGCGGCGCTGGGAAAAGGTGAAGGAGCAGGGTCCACAGCCCAGGCGCCCGCGCGGGGCCCAGGGGAAAGGTGGTCAGGAGCAGGGACCACACACCCTGGGCCCGCAGTGGGAGAGCAGCCATGGCCGTGGAGAAGCTCCATGTATCCCAGCAGGCGGTCATGGAGCCGCCCCGCCTCGAGGACGAAGGCCGCCGTCCACATCCAGGACTACGTTCTCAGCAAGAGGCAGCAGGCCATCGCCGACTCAGTGATGGAGCTTCCCTTCACCATGTCTCGCGACCATGAGTTCTTCGGCCTCCCGCCAGATGATCCAGACATGAGGAAACTTTGGACGATAAACTTCCAACAGCGGCTTGGCCGAGTTGCAGATCAGATCAGCTGCGCTCAGTCCGCCAAGGTCGATGCCAGCAAGCTGCTCACAGAGGCCTCGGTCATCAAACGCATGCTCGCGATGGCCACAGATCCACGAGTACGGCTACAACGATATCGGTCTCAGATTGAGGCGCTGGCCAAGGAGCAGAAAGATATCCACGAGAAGAAAGAAGCCCTGCAGACAAAGGCGGACGCCAACACCCAGCGCATCTCCGACCTGCGCCGCCTCATCATAGACGTCAAGCTGGAGATCGCAGCCGAAGCCGACACCGATTGCGAGGCCGACTCCGAGGACGATTTGAAGAAGCAAAGAAACAAAAAGGCCAGCACCCAATTTCGCCGTCGCGCCAGCCGAGAGCCTCCATCCTCATGCTCGAGCAGGCCGGCCCCCCCATCAAGCACCATCGCAGAACAGCTTAGGAGGAAAGACGAGGAAGCACGCCGAGAAGGAAAGAACCTAGCCAGCATCGCCAACGCCGAGCTCCGACAGAAGTCAGAAGAATATGAGGAGGAGGTGGAGGCCATGCGGCAGTGCTTTGCCGAACTGAAGATGCAGAACAGAGACAGGCTCGTGCGTCGCGAGCAGGAGCTATCCAAGACGGCCATGAACGCTACCGAACAAGCACTCCGCAGACAAGAAGCTCAGCAAGAACGCGCATCCCAACATCGAGAAGAGATGTTCCACAAGTTCTACGCGGAGAAGATGCAGCAGGAAGCGCAGAGGATTGAGAACCACGAGCGCGCGCTGAGACACGACCTCGAACGTCAGAAGCTTACCTACGAGCAGCAGCGCCAGGAGGCTTACCACATGCTGGACGCCATTCGAGCGGAGACTGCCTCCAAGGCGCGCAATGCACCAACCTCTGAGGTCGCAGCCTGCCAGCAGGAGATGAGCGAACAACTTCATCGCGAGTACGAACGACTTCAGCGTGAGGGCCAGAGGATTGAGCAGATGAACCAGGACCTCCGTCTCGAGGAGCAGGCCGTGCAAGTCATGGCAGCCAAGGAGATGCAAAGGAAGAACGACATAGCCGAGCAGATCGCCGAAGCCCAAGCAGACCTCAAGCGAGAGGAGATCAAACAGGAGCACGTGATCCAGCAGCAGACCGCCATCGCAGCCAACAAGCTCCTGGAGGAACATTACACAGTCCAGAGGGAGCGAGAAGTGGTCTACCAGCAAGCGGAGCTCCAGCTGGAGGCGCAGCGACACATCCAGAACAAGTGCGACCAGCTCGAAGCTAAAGAAGCGGAGCACCTACGCGCCACCCAACAGCACCAACTCTTCTTCAACGAGGCCCAGGCTCTCCAGCAGCAGATGCACCACATGACCAACTATGACCAGCATCAGCGTGACCAGTTCCTGGAGAGATACGGCCAATACGAGGCAGAGATACAGCAGCAGCAGCAGCTCGCCAACTCCGAGCTACAAGCAGTACAAGCACAAAGACAATCACAGGAATAACATCATCGTGAACAGCTGGCCCGACAACAGGAAGAGCATCGAGTACACCAAGCACTTCTCGAGAAGACCCTGCGGGAGCAGCCGACAGCATCGCACCCAGGATCGATACTGACATGCTCGACGGCGCCGCCAGCGCGCCCACCGCGGACAACGAGGAGCAGCATATGCAAGCCCAAGCCGACGACGAGGAGGCCTACCAGCGGGACAACATACGCTCCGCCCTCCACGCCATCGCTCCGTCGCATGAATTCGACTACGACGTGACACGCGAATCGTACTACGCCGAGCTAATCCAGATGGAGACCCCGAACGCTGCAGGGCATCGAGGCGCTCCCCCATCTTCTGGATCTTCGAATGGCTTAACGCCGCCCTTCTACTGCAGCCTCTGCAAGTCGCGCGGCAACTGCACCAGCGCCAAGACGGAGATCATCAGGTGCAGGCGCTGTGGGAGTGAACACATCGAGGACCGCTCCTCCGACCTCGGCGACAACTGTACGCGCTCAGCGTCTGCAAAGCCCCACCAGGCCACCCACCTGCACAACAACCAGCAGACACAAGCACCAACACACCGCCCATCACCACCCCCACCACCAGGGACGACACCGCAACCACTCGGCCCCCTCATCGACCTCGCATCCCCATCGGGAGTTGCTCCGACGCCAGTCGCGGGAAACGGAACGCCCCAGAAGAACCCGAAGGCTCACGCAGGGTTCTTGGCCGAGACTTCCACGCCACATCCCACGCGACACGCCGAGGACCAGAGCTTCGACGACCCCAACGACCACGACCTAGGCGACTCAACACACACTCCGACAGTCCGAGCCTCGCCGACTCCCCCTGACGAGCAACCGACACCAATCGCCTCCTGGGGAGCAGGCCCCTTTCCTGCCCCCCCCCGACACCCATGGCCGCACCCCTACAGAGGGCACAGTCCTTGCCGCTCCCCGACGATCCCACTTCCCCACGACATGTCCGACCGTCCCAAGCACAGACCACCCTACTGGGGAACCCTGACTCCCCCCCACGTTCCCGCATTACGCTCGAAGTCGGCTCCCCCTTCGCACCCACCCAACCATATTCCCCGAATCCACTTCCAGCACGATTCCACCTCGCAACTCCCGACCGTGCCAGATCTGCACCACCATCGGCACTCCGCAGGGCAAGCACTCACAGCAGGCCCGCGCGCAAGGTACGGATCCTGGACGACGGTGACGGATTCGACAACCCAATGGACCGCAGGCGCTTCAACCCCGAGAGTCAGGAGGGCAGCCCGGGTTCAAGCTCGGACACGACAAAAAACTGAGCAGGACTTCCCCCGCTGGGGGGCAACTGGCCCAGCGGGGGAGTCCCACAACCCTACCAGAAGACCGAGCACCTAGCCCGCTCAGAGTGGCTACACGTAACTACCAGCTCGATGGAGCAACCGCTGTGCCCCAGCAGATGTGCTGTGCGACCCTTGCGGTGCCAGACACTCAGCGACAGGCCCAGACGCTTTTACAGCCACAGGCGCCGCTCGGGAGGCCGCCGACCGCCTCAGCGGTGTTAGCTTGTGGGTTAGCGCACCGCCTGACGCCAACGGCCGCGCAACCTAGCTCTCCACAACCAGCGACTGCGATACAAAAAAGAAGAACCAATAAAAAGATTAGCTTCAACACCATTTGCGGGTGGGTAATCTACTCAGCCGCTGCGCCTTGGGACCAGCACCACGACCATGGCAGCGCGCAGGCACTAGCAACCACGACTGCACCACCCGTCGGACCGAGGACCATCCCCTCGGCCGACAACCGCAGTGCACCAACCACCCCGCCCAGGCGGCCAGCGAGGCCAGACGGGGCTAGCCCCCATCGACCCGACCGACCCGCTCCCAAGAGACGCACTCTGCAGAAGGCAAACCAGACGACCAGCCACTTTGGCCCAAAGGCGCCGCATCAACTTTCTCATGAAGTGCCTAACGAAGAGCAACACCAAGAGGCCAACCGACGTCAGCAGCAGCAAGGACTGCCGCTGCCGCAGCAGCAAGGACTGCAACAACCTGAGGAACAGCACCAAGACTCTCTCCACAGGCCACCACCGGCGGGACCTCGGAGACTCCCCGAGGCCGGCCTTTCAGCATCGCCAGACTCTCCCCCTAGAGAGCACCACGGGACCTCCAACGGCCCACCAGAGGCCAACCCAGACTACGCCACGGGACCAACAGCTGCGCCACTGCAGATGCCTTGGATGCGCAGCCAAGCGGCGCAGACGCCCAGAGGAACCGACGCAGCACCTACCATCCCAGAGGCAACCAATTGCATAGATCCACGAGAGATCTACGACATCGAAGCCACATACCTAGACGCCAAGCGTACCGATAGGGGACGCGCCATGCAACCCTTCCGCTCTCGTGCCGCTGCAATCCCCCTTCCCCCAACATCGACGCGACTGTTCGACGCCCAAGCACAGACACACGCTACTGACCAGAACCTACACCGAGCAAGAGGGAAGGCCACTCAACCATTCAGAGCCACCAACTTCAAGCCCCCAGCACCGCCCTACCAGCTAACGACATCATCCGACATGCCACCTCCGATGCCAGAGCAGCGCAGCGTAAAATTCGACGAGCGTCCGACCATCCGACAAACGATCCAGCGATCACCATCTGCCCACACCACTTTCGTCCTTTTGCGACGAGTCTCTCAACGAGACAGCCGACTACATGCTCCGTCACCACCCACAACGACCACTCCAAGAAGGAGCAAGGATCCATCTCTACACGGACGGCTCCAAAAAACCGAAGAAGCCGAGCGACGACGCCTGGTCCGTGGTGATCGCAGGTGACGACAACCTCGGCTTCAGCTTCCAGGGGGCCATCATAGGGAAGCACAAGAGCGGCGCCGACATCGCCCTCAAGGACAACGTCGAGCACGAGACCACCTCCACGACAGTCGAGACCACAGCCCTGATATGGGCCTTTGCCTGGGTGATGCACTACAACCCCCTCCACATCACCACGATATCCACGGACTCGCTCGGCACTCTGCAGCTCGCGAAGAGGCTAGCCTTCACCGACCGCGACCCCAAGCTCGTCAGGACACTCTGCATCCTCTACGACATGGTCAGCAACAAGATCGACCTGCAGCACGGCCACGCCCACGACTACAACCCATGGAACGAGGTTGCCGACGCCGCCGCCAACCGCGGACGCCTGCAATAAGTTATACCTCCTCAACCAGAGTGGGCAAGCGTCATGGATGGCGCACCCCAGCGGGACTGGGAGTTCCTGACCGACGCGGATCCCAACACCAAGGAGGCATACCCTGTCTTCGGCCTCGGCAATCTCACAGCAAAAAGGGTCGAGACGACCGCCGAGGCCCGACACTCCCACAACCCCTCCGAGTCCAATGACAAGAAGATCCTCGTAGAAATAAACATCGCCACCTTCAACATCCAGTCGGGGAGAGAGCCAAAGGAAGGATCGAAGCGTCGAAAAGAGAAGATCAACAAGCTTAAGACCACGATGGCGTGCCTGTACGACGAGGACCTCCACATCATTGGTATCCAGGAGGCAAGGACACCCTGGGGCGTCCGCGACGCAGGTCAAGACGACGACGCCAGATGCGCCAACGCCAACTGCTACCGCACCACTTCCAGCGGCCACAAAGGGTTCAACTACGGCTGCGAGCTCCATGTCCTACTCAGCAAACCCTACGGCAAGAACGGCAAACAGGAGCTCTTCTTCAAACCTGACAAGTTCACAGTCGTTGTCAAGGACCCCAGGCTCCTCATCGTTCGCGTAGCCGCCCTTGGCTTCAACCACGTGCTTGCCGTCGCCCACGCCCCACACTCGAAGGCCCTCGCGACCGAGAAGGATAGCTACTGGAAGAAGCTCGCGGAGAATACAGAAAAGCACCAAGTCAACATCATCTTCCCCGATGCAAGCGCCAGGACAGGCAGCACCACCAGCGCGGCCATCGGCGACAAGGGCTTCAAGCAAAACGAGGACCCAAACGGACACCGTCTACATGAGCTGCTCCTGACCAACCACCTGGCGGCCGCCAACACCTTCGTCAGTCATGGACCAGAGCATCATACCTGGCACTCGGGCAAGGACCCTCATCGCATCGACTACGCCATCATCCCCAAGGGCTACATAGACTCCATCGAGGAGTGCGCCGTGCTCTACGGCATAGACAGCGGCCAAGATCCAGAGACTAAGGACGACCACTACCCAGTCAAGATGCAGCTTGCCTACCAGATCGTCTCGTCCGTCACCAAAGGTAACCCGAAGTTAGACGAGAGCAAGCTAGCCGACGAAGGGTGCCGCAAAAATTTCTGCCAAAAACTAGACGAGGTCAAACACACGCCCTGGGACACCAACGTCAACGAGCACCTCGCCATAGTCACAGAGAAGGTCACGGAGGCCGCTTACAAGCGCTTCCGCTCCAACAGCCGCACCCCACACAAGCCCTACCTTACCGGGCGGTCCTTTGCTCTTCTGCGAGTTCGCCGCTCGGTACCCAAGACGACGCGGATCGGAAAAACAAAAAAAACGGGATTGCCAGCCACTTCGGTGACAAGAGGCTACGCTACACGGCAAAGATCATCGCGAGGGAAGCCCTCCTGCCCGACCCCTCAGATGCGAGTGCCCTGGCCGCTCTCAGCGACTACGTCAAACTAGTGGCGGCCTCTATCATATTCAGCACTCCCAGCTTAGCTTCCCACGTCGTGGAACCCGACGACGCCAACACCACGCACAGCGCCCAGCACTATTTTGACGCCCACCTCCTATTCCTCAGGACGTCTAAGTCGACCCTACAGAAGTGGATCACGACAGACCGCGACGACTTCCTTGAGAGAACCGCCGGCGAGATGGGTGCAGCGATCGACGACCACGCCCCCCGTCTAGAGGCCCTGTACGCCAAGCGACTACTGGCCTTTGGAGGACGAAAGTCAAAGAAGCCGCCGATGCCCATCATCCGCACCAACGACGACGGGGAGCCCCTCACCGAGAAGAGCGAGATCGCCGACCACGCCCTAGCCTTCCACGGCAAAGTTGAGCAAGCTATTGCCACGAATGCAGACGGGGTAGCAGCCGACTACAACAAGAGGACCCGCCACGCAGGACCAGAACCAAATATCCAACACATAATACCCAAGCACCAGCTGACCAGCCAGCCCGCCGCCGCCAAGCGAGGCCGCCGAGGAGGCCCTGACCAGCTCACCGACGACATGTCCAGAGCCAGCCCTGAAGGGATGGCTCGCCTGCTCCACCCCGTCCTAGTCAAGACCCACTTCGAGAGCACCGAGCCCATCGCCGCCAAGGGAGGGTACACTACATATTTCCACAAGGGACAGGCGGCCATGGAGCTCCAGAAATCATACCGCGGCACCCTGCCCAACAACACCATCGGCAAGATGCACAGCGCCTTCCTCCGATCCCGTGTGAAGGGCCTGCTACCTGAGCTACTAGAAGCAACCCAATGCGGCGCCCGACCCAAGATGGCCACGGATGTCATTACTCACACCAGTCTCGCCTTCATCAGCGACTGCCAGAGGAGATCAAGATCATGCAGCATCACCTTCCTGGACCTCAGGGAGGCCTTCCACTCCGTCATCAGGGAATTCTGCATGCAATTGCCGACCACCGCTGATGAGCTCAACGAGCTCATCGAACGGATCGACATTCCCGACTTCATCAGACCAGCCCTAAAGGAAGGACTCCAGCAACCCGCCTACAACAACCAGCACACCGACGACGAGCACCTCTGCCACATGATCGCAGATCACCACACCCCCAACTGGATGACAGCCAAGAGCGCAAGGCACTACCAGCTGCCTCGGACCAGCACCCGACCTGGAGTGCCATACTCGGACGTCGCCTTCAACATACACTTCGCCATCATGCTGAGGGCAAGTGACCAGGCAGTTCGAGAGGAAGAGGCCCACGGCCAGCAGAGAGGCGGACACGAAATAGAGGCACGCAGTGAGCCTCTATTTTCACCAACCCCTCACGAAGGAAGCGCGCTCAGAAACATGTCCTTCGTCGACGGCCCCACCGACTACAACTCGACCGCCAACGCCAACGACCTGATCAACACGAAAGCTCTGGCAGCAGCCAGGCTCTGCACGGCAGCATTCCAGCATGGACTGAAGCCACACCCTGAAAATACCAAGGCCATCTTCATGCACTACGGCGCGGGGGCCAAGCAGGAGAAACAACGGACAGCCAAGGAGGGCATCGCATACCTAGAACTGGACGGACTCGCGATCAAGGTGCAGCTGGTGGCGCAACAGAAGGCCCTCGGTACCATCGTCTCGGCGGGCGGGGTCACGGGGCCAGAGATCTGCCCAAGGGCCAACCGTGCACTTGGTGCAGCTCGGCCTCTAGAGAAGCAGATCCTCCGCCGCAAGAAGCTCTCGAAGAAAGCTAAGGTCAAGCACGTCCACTCTTTGTCGACATCCTCGCCCACCTACAACCACCATGCCTGGAACGACCTGGCCCAGAAGGACCTGAAGCACATTTCCGCCAAATACATGGGCCCATACCGAGTCGCAGCTTCACTGCCCAAGACCAACTCACCCGTCCAGCACATCTCCGAGGCCGAGGCGATCGCCAAGACAGGAGCACCCGACTTCACCACCCACCAGTCGATCGCGATGCTACGATCCTTGCCCGCACTCCTGAGTAATGCTCCAGCAGTCCTACTTCATCTACTCGACGGCCAGCGCCGACGAGAGGGCACATGGAGCCGCCAGCTCAAGAAAGACTCCGACTTCCAACGCACGTACTAACCAAAAGAAAGGCGGCCCAGCCAAACCCAGCACGACCGCGACATCATCAACTGGGCCCGACAGAAGCCGAAGCTATTCACCAACGCGGTCAAGACAGCTTCGAACGCATACATTCCCCACACTCGCGACCAAGCTCAAGGCGCCAAGCTCCAGAAGGACATCTTGATGACCTCGGCAGATTACACAACTGAAGTGATGGACCTCTGCGACGACGCGAACAACCAGAAGTACGTCTGCTACGCCTGCGGCCGAGTCGCCTCCAGGCAAGGCATGCTAATCCATATGGGCAGGGATCATCCAGACCATGAAGACCCGCGCTTCCGGGCGACAGGTACCGCGTGCCGATGCTGCCAGACCGAGCACCACTCTCTTCCGAGACTCATCAAGCACTTATCGGTGGCTCACCGTTGCCGCAAATCCTGGCATGCCTGGCGCGCCCAGACGATGAGGCCTCTGACGGAGCAGCAAATAGCAGATAACCTCGCCGCCGTCGCCGAGGTCACAAACGCCAACAAGAAGCAATGACGACACCCAACCTTCAGCGACAAGCCAGCCTACCCGTGCGACGTCACGCCACTGCCTCTCCTCGAGACGTCGCCCGTCCTACCCGAAGCACTCGCCGGGCCCGGGTCATCACCGAGCAGACCACCCGCGAGCTCGCCCGCAGAACCAGCCGAGCGCCAAGAAATCGTCTTCATCACCGACCGCCCTCGACAGGCCGCCGACCTCCAACAGATCATGGCCAGCAACGGGATCACGAGCATCAGCGGACTGGACTACACGCAGATCGCCATCCCCAGCGATGGCCATACCTCAGAACTCCCGACAGTACTTCGGCGAGCACAACGCAGGATCCTACATGGCGAGGTTGCTGCCATCTGCGTAGAGTTCCCACGACGTACCTGGTACCTACACGATGCAACCGACGTTCTAGGCAGCAGAGCAAGCAAGCGGCGCACCCCAGAGGCACCCTGGGGAACGCCTCAAGTCTCCGAAACCATCGCCGACGAGCTATTCGCCGCCAACAACGTCACACGAGAGGTCTTGCGTACGATCTTCATGGCGACCACTACCAAAGTACCATTCGTAGCAGCCATCTCTGCCGAGTCGATCATCAGACAGACCCCAGAATATCGGTGCATCGCCAACCTGACGACCGTCTACGAGACCCCGACGAACCACTACGACCTCGGCACCATACAGATCCTCGACAACGGCACCCGCGACGACCTCCGCAACATAATGCACACGGCAAACGAAGAGGAGATCGACTTCACCATTGCCGACCTGCTCGACGGCAACATGGTGGCTAGATGGGGCCTCAGAACAGCAACCGCTGCTCCTACCAGCCAGAACATGAACACCAACGACGCCTACTACATTGAACGAGAGGACGAAGTGCCGCCTCATGCCGAAGACGAACGCCACGAATAATGTCACCGACGACAAGTTCAAAGGCGTCAGGACGCAAGTCCTGAGGAAGCCCCGAGTGCGTGGGAACACCTCAGGCAGCGTCGCCAAGTTTTGCAAGAGGCGTTAGGACGCAAGTCCTGGGGAAGCCCCGAACGCGAGGGAACACCCCAGGCACAAGTCGCCACGTTTTGTAGTATTGCTGAAGGCAGCGGCAGCTCGTGCAAGAGGTCAGCGGGTACTTGTGAGCCGCATCACGCACCTACTCCACTCTTGCCAAGCACCACCGACCAGATACACCCCACGACCAAAGGTACGACCCACCACACTACGCCACAAGTCAACGCTGCTATGGTGAGGCAAGGATCAAACTTCGAGACGGGCTCGAAGGGTGGGGGGGGGCAGGACGAGTACTGCCCGCGCCTACCAGGGGGGATGGTGAGGGGCGGGGGGGGGGGGTAGGACGGCCACTACCCGCGCCCCCGCGGTCCGCCCTAGCTCGCCACCCCCACCATCCCCATGGCGAAGGAGGAGCGTACCCGATCGCCGACGCGGCGAAGCTGAAGGCAGCAGAGACATCCCTCACCGACGACAGCAGCAAGCACCAGGCCTGGGGTTCGCCCCCACCGAGGGCACCGTGACCCCTAGCCATAGCGGGACGAGGTGGGGCCGCCACGAACCCCAATTGAAGTCGGTGCATGGAGGCCTCTCATGTGCGCCCATAACCCACACCACAACCCCAGCAACAATACGCTCTCCCCACGACCTCACCATAGACACTCAAGACGACCATCCACAACCTATGGGACTCGCCACCGACCGATCACCCACCCCGCAACCACCACCCATCCAACCACCATCACCACCTCTATACCACCAGCCCACTGAAAGGAGGACAGGAGCAGGGTCCTCAGCAGTGCGGCACGACTCAACCATGACAGTGTCTGCTGAAAGGAGGACAGGAGCAGGGTCCTCAACAGCGAGGCTCGACGAGCACGCCATGGAGACACCGAAAAGGAGGACAGGAGCAGGGTCCCCAGAACCAATCTCCAGCAGGCACGCCCGCAGAAAGGAGGACAGGAGCAGGGTCCTCAGCTGCGAAGCGCTACAAAGACAATCAACCCCAGAACCTCCACCTCATCAACAACAACCACCACCTCGACTTGACCAGCCCGCTGAAAGGAGGACAGGAGCAGGGTCCTCAGCAGCGTGGCGTGATGAGCCTACCACAACCTCAGCTGAAAGGAAGACAGGAGCAGGGTCTTCAACAGCTCTGAAGATCGTGAAAGTAAAGGGGCCGCCCACAAGGAGGACAGGAGCAGGGTCCTCAGAAGCGGTGCTCAGCATGCACGACGTCTCAGAGGAGCTCACGCAAAGTGAAGGAGGCGGCGCACCGTGCGCCGAGGCGAGGCCTTCCCCAGCCCTCGGGCCGAAGGGGGGAACGGCCCGCCCCCCGTGTAACATACGGGGGCCGCCAGCTCAGCCGAGCTGCGCAGCGGCTAGAGAAGGTCGGGCGCCCCTCAGCTCGCGAGCAAAGGAGGGGCGTCCGTCGCAAAGAAGTTCGAGGAGGACGAGTTCGGGGCCCACCTGAGGCCGTCGGACTGACGGGCTACGCCGCGGCGGCCGCCGCCGCGGCATAGAGCCCTCACTGAAAGGGTTCGCTGAAAGGAGGAGGAGGAGGAGGAGGAGGAGGAGGAGGAGGAGGAGTGGACGCAGGCGGCGGCGCAGCGCGGCCCTCCCCCAGGGACAGCGACCTCTCCTGGCGATGGCAGCCCCTGGCGCTGGCCAGGGCAGCACGGAGGCCCCCGCAGCGGAGGCCCGCGGCAGAGACCGGGAGGACTTCGCCCGGGAGCACGCCCCTGAGGACCCGGCGCCCTTCGAGGACCCGGCGGACGTCGCGCCACAAGGGTCTTCAGCGCATCTGGGCGCTCCAGGCGCCGCACGCGAAGCCTCAATCCTCACTCCTGAAGAATCTTGAAGGGCCCCCACCCCCCGCCCTTCAATCTCACAAGGCTTTGTGCCCTCTGGGCTTTGCCAAGAGGTAGCGCGCGAAGTTGTCGAGCCCAATGGCTACGGACTCTGGAGGAGCAGGAGGACGGAAGACGAGGAGGAAGAGAAACAGGAGGAGGAGGAGGGACATGAGCAGGAGGAGGACGGAGGGCGGAGGAGGAGGACGGGGAAGGAACATGATAACGGGGGACATGGACGGACGACGAGGAGGAAAAGGAGGAGGAGGAGGAGAAGGGATGAGGAGGAGAACTCGTGTAAACCCAATATGCGTCAAGGATGTTGCGATGAACCCTCCGTCCAAATTCTCTCTGATCTGCCCCTTCCAAAAAAAACTCCACTGCGGGAAGTAGCCCATTAGAGGGTAGCCGTCTGAGAATCTCCTACCGTACCAGAACGCAGTTCCTGGGACCCCACCGCCGCGGATCAATGTGACTGTCGCGTCCTGACAATCCTGATCGCGTCAGAACACCATCCTTGGGACTTGGACGCCGCGGGCCAAATGTGACTGGTGCGTCCTGGCAATTCTGAACCGTGTCAGAACACCGTTGCTGCGATTTCAACCATACGAGTCGGCGAAACGCCTGCAAAGTTTTCGGACGACGCGCCGCGCTGAACCGAGAGCCCCTATTTGGACAAGACCCGCCGTCCATCATTGAAACGGCTACAGACGTTTGAAGCAAATGCGCGCGACGCCAAGGCGAAAACGACATTTTGAATACGTCCCGCCCTCCATCCGTCAAGCTGGTGTAAGCTTTTCAGACGAACGTGCGCGGCGTTCAGGCGGAAGCAGCATGCTGAAAAGGGCCTGCCTTCCATCCTTGGACGCTGGTGCACACTCTTCAGAAGAATGTGCGCGGCGCTGAAGCGACAGCCACATGTTTAAAAAGGCCTGCCTTCCACCCGCGAAACTCGATCCAACTTTTCAGACGGATGTGCGCGGCGCTGACGCGAGAACCGCATGTAAAACACGGCCCGCCCGGCCCTCCTCCACCTGCGAAGCTGTTGCAACTCTCGGGTTTCAAGGTCAGGAGTGGTGAGGGAGTCCCACGCGAAACGCCCGCCCCGCCCTACCAACACGAAGGGGGGGGGTGCGGCAGTGAGAGGCTGTGTATGAGGAGCGGGAATGGAAGGAGGAAGAGGAGGCGGAGGAAGGGAAGGAAGACGGAGGAGGAAGACGGAGGAGGAGAAGGAGGAAAACGAAAGAGGAGGAAACGGAGGAGGAGGAAGACGGAGGAGGAAGTGGAGATCGGGGGAGGAGGAGGAGGAGGAGGAGGAGGAGGAGGAGGAGGAGGAGGGGGGAGGAGGAGGGAGGAGGGGGAGGAGGAGGAGGAGGAGGAGCAGGAGGAGGAGGAGGAAGAGGACAAGAAGGATGAGGGGCACGGAGGAGCAGGGGGACGGAAGAGGAGGACG